CTCGCTTATCTGTGAATATACTGCTCTTTTCCCTATCCATGATTGTTTTTTGTTCTCTGTTGTTTTATGTTCCTGTATCTGTATTTTGTATTTTCATCGTCTTTTTATTTATTTTTTGTATTATTTGTAAAGTGACCTTGAGTGTCTAGAAAGGCGCTGTTAAATAAAATGTATTATTATTATTATTATTATTAACTAACTCCATGTGAAGGAAAGAAATGCTGCTTGGTGATTTAGATGTTTTCAAGATGGATTGAAGCCTAACATTTTGTACATGAAATATTACAACATATGCTGAAATGTTTAATGTTAAGCTAATGAGGCATTGTGTCTACCATCCACAGAACGGAGGAGCTGCTGAAAGAGAAATTAGATCTGTGAAGAAACGGGTCTGAATGGGTCTAGGCACTACAAACTGCTTTGATGCGCATGCGCCGCCGTAAAAAATCTAACCTCAAGCTTTTTTTATTCTCTTTGCAGGACTGCCAGACACTCCTAGAACACCTACAGTTGCATATGGTGATAAAATGCTTAATTATTGCATTTCTCTTATAGCTCAGCTGAAGGCAGTGAGGGAGCAGACACAGGGAGGTCTGCTGCACCAGTTACTAACACATTCCAGGATTTACAGCCAGGAGGAAGATTGGAGATCCTGGAGGTGGATGGGTCCATTCCAGGTGTTGCTGACCACCTGCACAGCAGTAAGGGCTGCTGATAGTCCTGAAGTCCACGGGTAGAGTACGAGAGCAGGCTAAAGAAGCAGACGAAGACAAGCAGTGAGACGGGGAGCTGGGTGTTCATCAGTCATCAGAGAGAGGAGTCCAATGTGGAAATGACCATTCCAAGTGCTCCTGACCACGCCAACAGCTGGGAAGATTGCTGAAAGACCATCCTGGATTCACCTCAGCCACTGCAAGTTACAGAGAGTGTTATACACCTGAGGCTGGAACAGCGGGGAAGTCCTGCTACAAAGGGCTTTGGTTTTTTTAGGGCCACTCGTCTCAACTGATCCCTGTTCTTTAGAGTCCTGGGTAAAATTAACGTCTCTGCCAAAGTAGCAAAGATGTGTTCCCATGGAGATGGGGCTTCTTTTGCATTGTTGCTGTTGGGTCAATATCTGTTTCAGTCCAGAGGTGAACCAGATGAATATAAACTAGTTAATCAGGTTGCTGCAGGATTTAAATCAACAATTTGCTGGTGGTTAGTTATTAACAAAAATGAATTAGTTATATGCATTATAATGTTCAGAAATTAGGTAACTGGACTCAAAGTGGTTTTATACTGTCCAAACATAGACATCCAAATGTCCATGTACAGCTTCAAATGTTTTGGTTTTTGCTAATATTTTACTCATTTATGTTTTGATGTATTTCCTGAATGGGGGTGGTTGCTTGGAAGCCTTGCTGATACGAAAGGAAAGGAAGTTTCCCCCTATAAGATTCTCAGGTGGTGGTGTGAATAGATAATTGTTATCTCTGTCCTTTGAAGAGCTAAATGTGTGTAGTCCTCTTTTTATGGTGAGAATGCTGCAGCCTCAGAGCTTCACTGACTGCATTCAGGCTGGTCGCCATGTTCTCCTCTGCAGAGAAACCTTCCTGTAATATCAACCCTCAGCGCTCATATTTATTTAACTCGACAGAACCTGCTAGCACTAAGTTGCTAACTGGTTAGCAAGATACGTCCGATTAATCGGCCACAATCGAACTTGGTTGCGAACCTTCAGCCACAGCAATCCCGCCCCCTTGATAATCGACCAATCACACTCCCTTTATTCACTGGTGTAAAGTCGGGCACCACTGGTTGTAACGGCCGCTTCCCTACGACATTAAGAGAAGCAATCAATTCCTCCCATTAATAATACGCTGGTTGCTTCCTGGAGCTCAGAGCAGAGGGAGGAGGAGAAACCATGGAGGCTGCAGGCGCTGCTCTGCTGAGCAGAGAGGGATGATGGGAAATCTGGGCTCAGAAAGGATACTAGAGAGGATTGCTGCTGGTGACCTTTGCCCTGCATCTATAGGACCTTCATCCACCAGTCTGCAGCAGCTGGACCTCCTACCTCTATCACCTCAGCAGGGATTGCTGCTGATCCTGGACCTCCTACCTCTAACACCTCAGCAGGGATTGCTGCTGATCCTGGACCTCCTACCTCTAACACCTCAGCAGGGATTGCTGCTGATCCTGGACCTCCTACCGCTAACACCTCAGCAGGGATTGCTGCTGATCCTGGACCTCCTACCTCTAACACCTC